TTGGTCCTTGTGTGTCTCTGTGTGTCCCTGTGATGGACTGGGGACCGTCCAGGAGGACCCCACCTCTCCCCATTGGCTACTGGGATAGGCTCCACCCCCCCGACCATATTAGGAGATAAGGGCTTAGATAATGGATGGATGTTTGAAGCTGTTTGTCAGGTTTTTGGGGCTCAGAAGATGTTTCCTGGGATTGTTTGTAGTGTTTTCAGAGGTAAGGTCCTGAGCCTAGAATGTTATTTTAGCTGGAAAAGGGTCCTGGAGACAAACCGATTTCTGCCCATGAGTGAAGTGAGGATGGTGGCTGGAGCAGGACATTTCTCCAATAGCTTCCTGTGTGCTGACTTCCTGCTCTGTGTGTGCAGACCATGGCCGGTGTGATTGCTGTGGGGACGTCTCATGGTCTGGCTCTGGTCTTCGGTGAGTGGAACCAGTCATGTTAAGATTTACAACTTTTTATGGTCCACATAAAGCTGGTTCAGCCGAGCTACTAGAGAGGAACTTCTGATGAAGAGACACCTGTTTGTAGCTCAATTCCCTGAATATTTATCATTTCTAATGTCTAGTTTTTTTCCCCACAGACCTTTATGAGGTCTTAATCAGATCCATTCTCGTCCCTCTTGTTAGGGCCTTAGATTGGTAGTACTGAATGTTTCCTCACACACAGATTGAGCTCATTGTTATCATTGTAATTAACATTATGAATATTTTACTACTCACTTTTAAGCAGGAGGTATTTAATGGAGCTGATAGAACTTTAGAAAGCGCCTTCACCCAGCCAGCAGTTTAATGTGAATATCTCTTTATCCCTTTGACTCCACTCATTTATTCAGATAAGTAGGACTAAATAACCACGTTTTTCGGGATAAGAGAGCAGAACGTGGTTTCTAAATGTGGGATGGACAACAAAATGCTAAAGATAGTTGGTTTCCCCCCCAAAAAACAGAGTTAGTGAGTTATCCTGGTTTTGATCCAGCCTGGATAACGACTGTGACTTAGATTTCCCATAAATTGACGCATGTCTCTTTACGATTGCTAACACTGATGGCCTGGGCAGGAAAAGGTATGGCCACCCTGTTCAGTTATCTTTCTCCATGTTGCTTCTGCTTGGCTCCAGCTCCATTATTTTGATTATTTGATTTGGTCCCATTGTTTCCATGCATGCCCAGTGGTTTCATTCAGTTATTTTTGCAGTTAGCAGCCTCATTTCTTTAGAGCAGTGTTTTTCAACCTTTTTTGAGCCAAGGTAAATTTTTTCATGGAAAAAATCACGAGGCACACCACCAACTAAAAATGTCAAACAAATCTGTAGCCGCCTATAGTAACACTATAGTTATTCTTATGTTATTTTTATCTTATCTTAAGTGTCTTGAATAGGGATCAAATAAACAAAAATGTGTTTTTATCATACTTTATATTTCTTCTTTCAAATTGCACTTAACATGTCCACTTCAATATACAAAATTAAATACAAAATCTAGTCATAAGGAATTATTACATGATTATGCCACCAGTCACTAGAACAGCACAGACACAAAAAAATGGCATATTATTTGCAGATAATTAATTCCTTATCAAAAAATCTTTTTAGACCAATTAGGTGAAACAGGATGATTTTCTACGGCACACCTGACCATCACTCTCAGGCACAGTGGTTGAAAAAAACTGCTTTAGAGAGCTTCACTCTGTGCTGGGACTCAACCTGTGGTCCAGCCATTGTGCTTTTTATTCAGTATTTTTTTCCCCCGATGTGTTCTCCAGACACAAACCAGGCTCTGAGGCTCTGCCTGGGCTCCAAGTCGACGGGGGCTGAGTTTGGAGCCGTTTCCGCCCTGAGCATCAACCATGACTGCTCACGACTCCTCTGTGGCTTTGCCAAAGGACAGGTCAGTATTCCAGATAGGTCCTAGTGTTTTTCTGGGGAGAAACGCCTCAGAGAGCACAGCTCAAGTGCTTCACAAAGAATTTAAAGGCAGAAAAACAAGAAAATAATAGAAATTATATGGATAAAAGTGAAGGGTGCAGATAACATCCATCCAGTTTCCATCTGGACAGTTAAACAGATGTTTTCATCTGGATTTAAACATTCAGAACTGGGTTCTGTCTCACATCTTCTTGAAATCAGTACTTCAGGAAATCAGGACATGTAGAATCACTTCTCTCTGGTAATTGAATATTTTAAAGGTTCTTTTTCTTTCTCAATGTGTCTCTCTTCTCCTTCAAAGCTTCAGAGAATGTCTCCTCATATTGTGTCTAATTATGCCTTGTCTGGAGGATTGTTTAATACAGATGCAGGATGGAGGACAGACTTTACGTCTCAGTTTAGACTCAGAAGGGTATAAAATGAGTATAAGGGTATAATAAAAAATTTAAAAAATGTAAAATTATATAAAATAAAATAAAAAAATAAAATACAATAAAATAAAAAATATGATAAAGTAAAAAAATAAAATTTAAATAAAATTTAAAAAATAAAAAAATAAAAAAATAAAAAAATAAAAAAATAAAATAAATAAATAAATAAATAAAAATTATCTGCTGCTCATCAGATCACCATGTGGGATCTTGCCAATGGGAAGCTCCTGAGAACCATCACTGATGCCCATCCTCCAGGGACTGCGATACTGCACGTAAAGGTACGTCGTCAGCACCTTTTGTCCAGACGGTTTCTCAGAGGTCCAGCTTTTCTATGTGCCTTTAGCAAATGCGTGAGGTTTCACAGCTTAGTCTCACCTGAAGTATCGTCAGCTTAATAGTGAACATTTGTTCCATGTTGCCTCACACTGTTACCTAATGGGAGCAGGATTAACTCATTGACTGCCAGAGTTTTTTGAGCATTTTGACTGATTTTTCTAGAGCCACAGAATAGTTTGTGCTATGACTATGTAAACACCGAACACACCAAAAGAAAGAGTAGACTCTCTTCTTTCATCAGGAAAAAAAATGTGTTTCTACCTTATTCCGTTCTTCCTGGACTTGCGTCTCACCGGCGACATGTTCTCTCATAGAACCGTTCCCTTTTTCTTATTTGCCTACAGTCTATGCTCATCTCCCATCAAAAGTGGCACTGCCCCCTAGAGGCTCAATATGTTACTACATACTCTGTCTAGAAGCCCATATTTACGGACAAGCTTTAGCAGATCGTCCCCCAAGTCACTCTCGTTGAAAAACATAAAAGATGTCTATTGAGGTCTTTGGCAGCCAATGAGTTAAAGGAAAAGAGCCAATCAGAGTACAGAATGCTGAAGAACTCCATAATTCTGAGAAAAATGTTTATTTTATGCCTTTTATTTTGACTCCATACTCATGAGTATTTCTATATTGGGTATGAAAAAGATACATGGGACAGACTGGCTGTGGAAAATAAATCCAGACACAGAAATGTCTCTCTCAGCCTTTTTCTCTCCATATTTTATCCTGTCCTGCAGTTCACGGACGACCCCACCCTGGCCGTGTGCAACGACAGTGGCGGGTCGGTGTTTGAGCTGGCTTTCAGGTAAATGGGAGGGATCCATCAACCTGG